AAAGGATTAACTAATATTTTAGTTTAATTCAGAAAATAATTGTTTTTAATAATCTGATCTAAATCTTATAGAAAAAAATATATTAGAAAACTTTTTAATAAAAAAATATAAAAAAAAAACTTTAAAGATTACTTTTAAAATAAGTTATACTTATAATCTAAATACAAATTAAATCCTAAAAAAAAAGATAAAAAATATATGTAAATATTTTCAATAAAAAAATTTTAGATAAATTAAATACTCATTTTTTTTATAATAAAATAGTTCACTTAAAATTATCTTTATTTTAAACATTTTACATAATCATAAGTATCTTTCGAATAAACTATTTTTATTAATTTTTAACTAAAAAAATAAAAAAATAATTAATAAATTATTTAAATTATTAAAGTAAAAAATAAATAAAAGTTACAAATTTCAAATTAAAGAAAAAAATGAAAATAGAGCTAAAGATTAAAAAAAAGATAAAAAATAATTAATAAAAAAATAGTGATTCTAGCTTTTTTTATCCTTTAATAATAAAAAAATTAAAAAAAATATTATTAATATTAAAATTTATCTTTTTGCCTAAGTAAATTATATAAATATAATTATGCTATATATAATAAGTATACTGTTCTAATTAAAATACATAAGAATTATTTAATTCTAAAATTATATTATTCCTTTTCTCTTTTTTTCAAAAATATAATATAATGTGAATAGGTAAATGTGATGCAACTTATGTGATGCAGAAAATTGACTAATTTGACATAAATGATATATATGATATGTCAGACATATGTGGCATAACTGATATATTAGATATAGTTGATATAGTAGACATATTAGTTATATCTCTCTATGTAATTTATTTTATATAAATAGGTAGCTTTTTAGTTCATGTAAAAAGACAAACAGATAGGAACTTGATAAGTTAGTTTAATAATTTTAAAGGCAACTGGCTTATCGCGTTACATTTTAATTCTAGTAATTCATTTTTTTCTTTTCTTACCCTATTTTCTTTATTTCCTTTTATTTCTCTTCTTTCATTTTATTATTTTACTTGTGAATAAATATATTATTTTACAAATATAACTACTAACAATCTGTTGAATTACTGCTTATCGTAATAGTATAAATACCTTTAATAATCAGTCTGACGTAAAACTTGTAAGCTGTTGAAAGATTACTGCTCAATTAAAAAGAATAAACTGCTTGAATATCCTGTCTAACAGTTATAGTTCACAAGAATTATATATTAACATTTAGCGATGATAATAGGACCATCTTTTTCTAATTAGCATAATAATAATCCATGCGAAATACTCCATAAACAACTTTAGAGAATTAATTAAGTATCAATAAAACCATTCAGCTATACACAATAGATCAGAGCATAACTTTAGGAAAACTACTAGTAATTTTATCTTAACTGATGACCCATCCTGTATTGCTTGTAACCTACCTCCTAAGGAGATTTCTTAATCTTTCCTCAATTTCTTTGAGTAGCACAGAAAGTCTTAGAAGCATTATTATATACAAGCAAAAGTCTAGAAGCTCTTCGAATTGCAATCTCTATAGAAACTACAAATATATTATAGGCAGACACTTAAAACTTTAAGAAATAAGCAAGTACCAATACCAACCTTTGAGTGAGTTATTGAATATTATATCTGAGCTTAAACTGAAACTGAATTATTCTAGAAGAAATATCAAGGCGATTTACTTAATTATCTTAATATATCCCTTTTAAATATAAGTCGTAACTCTTCTCTATTTAGAATGATCAAACCCTAGATAACCCATAAAAATAATATTATGTCTGAATTAGCAAAAGAAGATTTGCTTCACTTGTCTAAGTATTGTCATTAAAGTAGTCAAAAATATTACACTTGTCAAATTAAAAAGGCGAGACATTTCTGCATAAAAATTAAGAATCACTTTGAATTCTGAAAAATTGAAAGAATCTTCACAATCTTAGATTTACCTTTTCTCTATCCTGAACTTAATGTAGAACTCAACTTAATTTATGCTTGAATGACTTATCAAATTTGAGATGCTACTGATAGTCTTGTGCAATTCATCCTAATATAAAAGATGACTATTTGGATCCTAATGATAGGAAAAGAATTAAAAGATATGTTAAAGCTTCTTCATCCCTTCTATCAGGTGATATTGATACTTTTAGATAAATCATCGCCTTCCTATGAATATTTATGGTTAATCTACTAAGACCATTTTGTACACCTATATCATCATATTATAACCAAAGGAATTAAAACAAAATTAGTAGATTACTGAACCTATATTTAGCAAACATCAATTTTTTCCACTTTTCTTGATCTGTCAATAAAGCTCAAAATGTTTAACGAAGAAGATCGCAAAGTTGGTTATAGATTAGTAAAGGTTTCTTATCATATGGATAATATGAAGATGTTATCTAAACTAAAATTTATTAAATGTTGGCTTAAAACAAAAATGAGGATGATGTATTAACAAACGAATTAACTATTTATCCTCAGATCCTGAATAGAGATCCATTATTGTAATAAAAATTCAATTTCTCCTGCTTCCTAACATATTGCTTTAATAGTAATAGATTATCATACACTCTAAATTACGAGCATTTCATGCAAACTTGTTTACTCTATAGCGAAGTATACAATTAATCTTACAAAAATTTGACTTTTTGAACAAATGATAATTTGTTTTGTGAAAAAAAAAAATAAATAAAAAAAATGAAAAAATAATTTTAACAATTCCCAATATAAAAAAGTGCCAGAACTTCATGAAATGTGTATTTATAGATTAGAAAAAGTCGATTGATCAAAAATCATTTTAGTTTTGTTATGGTTATTGGCTAAAAAAATTTTTTTTTATTCTCACGCAATATTTGATTCCTATACAACTCTTACCTCCATTATAAATTTTCTTGTTATTAAACTATGAGTAAAGTAGTATACTGTTCGTATGCTTCTAAATAAAGGTTTTTGAATGAATAAAAGTAAAAAGAAGAGAATAACAAAAAAAAATAAAGAACTATTAAGACAGCATGATAAAAATGGTAAGTTATATCAGTGGTGAAGCTACTGAATAGATATGGCTTGTGCTTAAAGTTGACTGTAAACGCTCTCACTTAGGTTCATCTTTCCTGTCTTAAAGGATACTGTAGACATCATAGATGAAGTTGGTATAGTAATGAAGTTATATCACATAATTTACTTAATGAGTATGCATAGTTAATTCCTTCTCCCTCTCTTTTGGCAGTTTGTATTTTACAATTAGAACATCATATAGATTTGCAAAATGATGTGATAATAGAATAATAACTGCAGCTTCAATAGCAGCAGAAAGAGTTGTAACAATAACAACTACTCATCAATAATTTGAAACAGATTGAGATTTCCCAGGATTAATATATACAAGTTCTAGAAAGGCAGAATATATGAATCTTAGGTAAGCTTTATGAATGTAAACTTTAACATCAATAATGTATTGGTATCCCTAACTTCTTATTAAAATTATAGTAAGGAAAAGTAAAATTTTTTAGGAAAGTAACAGAAATCTTTGACGAGCGTTTTATGCTAAAGGTCGTATTAAAGATCTAAATAATCAATACTGTAATAAAAAATTATAATTAATGATATAATAAATTAATAAAATACATATTATTTAAGTGTTGTTAATTTTACTTCTGTCGAAATCATTTTGGTGATAAATAATTTACTAAATAATAAATTTATTAATTGTTAAATTCATATTTGATTTTAAAGTAATGTTAGAA